TTTGGGGAAAATTGAGTTTTCTTTTCAGGAGCCATGAAGCACAGCTATACAATATATCTGTTAATTTAAAGAACAAATCCCAGAGAGACTTTTCTTCTCACACATTTATCATTTCATGTCATGAATCCGATGTGAGTTGTTGCTGGCAACCAGACATTTTCCCCTCATTTTCTGATCTTAACTAGGACAATGGGGTCAATTCAGCAACGAGTATAGCATGCAATAATTGTTTTTTTTTTAATGTTGCATTCGATAATAAAGGAGTCATTTCATCAAAGTAAATATTGAATATCCTAGATTGTAAGCTCCAAGGAGCAGGGTCCTCCCATCCCTCTTGTATTGAACTGTATTGTTACTGTATTGTCTCCCATTATATTGTAAAGCGCTGAGCAAACTGTTGGCGCTATATAAATCCTGTATAATAATAATAATCAAAGTAAATATTGAATTTGCTGTAAATACTACAAATTTGGTAAATGTGTGCGGTAATTACAGCAAAAAAAAAAAAAAGAAATCATTAAAGTCAATTCACAAAAAAAAAAAAATATATGATTTACGTCATGGTATACATAGTCCATATTTTAGGAGTGTAGAAAATAACAATGAGGGGAACTCTGTACTGGCCAGTAAGTTAAAAGACAACAATGTATCAGTGTGGAAATGTTATACCCTTATGCTCAGGAATGGAAATAATTTGTAACATTGCACTAGAGAGAGATCATTCTGTGAAAGCACACTAGAATTTTTCATAGTTTCACAATATTTTTTCTTGCCATCGTTCACAGAACAATATCTCTCTGGTGTAGTGTTAGACTAATTTCACTTATCCTCGCTTTTGATACATTTTTGCAGTGTGTTTTTTAAAGGACAATTGACTCAAAAACTGCACCAAAAAACGCAACCTGGTGCGGTTTTTATGCGTTTTTGCTGTGTTCTCCATTGATTTCAATGTGGAGGTTAAAAAAAATGCACCGAACCTGCACCAAAAATGCAGCAAGCAGGACTTTGAAAAATGCACCAGGATCAGTGTGAAGAGTTCCTAGGGAATACATAGTCACCCATTTTTAACGCAAAAGTGGAAGAAAAACGGATCACTGTAAAAGCAGCTTAAACCTATAAAAAATGCGATAAAACAGTGTAAATAATCATACTAAATGTAAGCACTAAATATCACAAAACATACGTATTTAACTTATTCTGTAAATAAAAGTTAAGACCAGCAGCATGGCCTTCTAAAGGCCTAGTGCTTAGCCAGAGCCACCACTAGAGGGTGCTGCTGTACTATCTGACAGTAGAATGTGTCCTTGGGGCAGAATGGATAGCAGCCAATAACAGCAACTGCAGTGAAAAAAAGGCATCACATGCCCACCTGGGAGCAGTTGCATGGGGTTACTGTCCTCTGAGCAACAGCATGAAAGCTTTTAGTACCTTGAGCATTGTATTCACCATGAATCAATTGCTAGAAGTAGCAATAGATTGCTAAGCAGATTAAACTAATTGTTCCCTGTAGAGTAAGCTACACAAACAGAATGCAGCAGAATTTAGAAGTGATCAATTAAACAAGGCTGGAGTTTTGAGGGCTTATGCTAGACTATTTGCTATTTCATGCTACTAAATACTACTTGTATAGTTTATTCTATAGGAAACTACATGTTTTGCAATCAATTGCTAAAGCACACATGAGCAACTAAAAATCTGCTGTGGAGCGCTACACTATTTAAGTGACTCTAAACATGTAGTTAAATTGACCGTCACTACAGAGTCACTTACAAACAATACCTGTCTTGGGAAGGAAAAAAAGGTACTATACAATGTCAATAGTTGTTAAAGATGTCATTGCGGTCTGGTATAGGTTTTAAGAGGGAACCCCATGCAAAAATCAAGAAAAAAAAGCATGAGGTCCTCCCCAAAAACCCATACCAGACCCTTATCCTGTTCTGCTGATGAGGATAAGGACCTCTTCCCCACGATCCTGGCCCAGAGGTTTTGGAGGTCTGTGGGCAGGGTACTTATTAGAAAATATAGAAGCCCTTTTGATAATAATGACAGCATTTTGGTTGCCCTCAAAGGGCCAGTTGTATCTAAAAGACTGCATAAATTTATCTAGGGCTTTTTTTTCTCTGAGTATAGGTGCAGGAACTCAACCATGCCCCCCATTCCCCGCCCAACCACATCAGATGGTGGTAATTACCGTATGTCACCTGGGAGACACCTTCCCTTTGTTTATATCAGCTGTTGAACCTGTGATGATGGGGCTAGAAATGTGTCAGCATCAGGGTTTTTTTCTTTTCAGTGGGCCTTAGGCATTGTGATGGACATGGATCCACATTGCTGGAGGACATATAGCAGTTAGACAAAAAAAAATGGAAACGCTAAACATCTGCAGGTGTGAAAGTGTTGACATGTTTCGCTTTGGAAGCATAAATAACCTTACATTCTTTTGGTTCCACTGTGTGATGAGAAACCTAGCTAACAGGTGGGAAGCCTCACTTTTGTCATTCATTGTATGCCCTGCTAGTAATATAGGGTCATGTCAGAACTTACTGAGATTCAAAAATGGCAAATTATTGGTGCCCACTTAGCTGGTGCCTCTGTGATTGAAGTTGCCAATTTATTTGCCGTATCACGAGGTACAGTATCACAGGTCATGAGTTTCCGGGAAAACGTTGTCTGATAAGCATAAGTGTGGTCGACATGTCTTCACAGGAGTTCTGCAGTCACTTTTGCAGCAGTTGTTTTTATTCTGGGTCACAATCCTGCACAATGTCCTTTTGCCTTTTTTTGGTCAGTTGACCATGTTTACTGCACTCAGACAATGTTTTCCCCTAAACTGTATATGCCGTCATAACCTTTGATACTGTACCTCACGACACAGCAAATAAACTGTCAACTTCAGTCACAGAGGCACCAGCTAAGCAGCACCAACAATTTGCTCTCCTTGAAGCTAAGTAAGCTGTAGCATGACTCCATATTACTAGCAGTGATGAACATGAGGCTTCCTACCTGATAGCTAGGTGTCTCATCACACAGCAGAAGCAAAATAAAGTTATATCACTTCTGCTTTCAACACGAAACATATCATTACTTTCACACCTGCAAATCATCTATTGTTTCCATTTTTTTGCCTAACCCTTGTAGTTGACAATGAATGTACATTGTGGGACTTTTTTTTCTTTAATTAAAGGACTTGTCAAAGACTGCCTCTGTCTTTATTTACACTTTACATTTTTTTTTGTAAATGAGTAAAGGGGCCTTCCAGATTGATAAGACCCCCGCCCGCAGACACCTCAATCACCAGGCCAGGGTTGTGGAGTTGAGGACAAGGGGGGCTAACTTGGCAAAGTTATTATTATTGTACAGGATTTATATAGTACCAACAGTTTGCTCAGCCCTTTACAATATAACGGGAGACAATACAGCAACAATACAGTTCAATACAAGAGGGTTAGGAGGGCCCTGCTCCATGGAGCTTACAATCTAGGAGTGCTCCTCCCCATGCTGAGGGCATGAGGGCACATGGCTTGGTATAGTTCAGGAGGAGGGCCCCCCCCCCCCACTTCTCATTATCCACTTGCCTACCGGGCACTTTTACCCCCTTCGTGCCCAGGCCAATTTTCAGCTTTCAGTGTTGTCGCACTTTGAATGACAATTGCACAGTCATGCAACACTGTACCCATATTAAATTTTTATAATTTTTTTTCACACAAATGGAGCTTTCTTTTGGTGATATTTAATCACCACTGGGTGTTTTATATTTTGCACTATAAATGAAAAAAGAGCGAAAATTTTGAAATAGAAAGGTTTTCTTTGTTTCTATTATAAAATGTAGCAAACAGGTAATTTTTCTCCTTCACTGATGTGCATTGATGAGGCTGCACTGATAGGTGAGCTGATGGGCACTGATAAGCAGCACTGATGGACACAGATGAGGTGGCACTGATAGGCTGCACTGATTAGACGGCACTGGTGGGCATTGATGAGGAGGCACTGATGATGCTGCACTGATATGCGCCACTGATGGGCAATGATAGGCGGCAATGATGGGCACTGACTGGCAGCACTAAACTGGTGGCACTGATGGGCACAGATTGGCAGCACTACTGGGCAGCACTGTGGGGCACTGATGGGCAGCACTGTTGGGCACTTTTGGGGCTGCGCCAGTAATCAGTGCCCTGATTCTCAGTGCAGATGTCTGCTTTGACAATTGCCAGTTACTGACAGTACTTTCCTCATGCTGTGACAGCGTGAAGAAAGTACTGCCAATAACCAGCAAGTGTATTTACACAGTGGTCAGCTGTGATTGGACACAGCTGATCACGTGGCAAAAGGCCGCTGTGATTGGCCTTTCACCATGTCATGTGATCAGCTGTGTCCAAAGTACACAGCAATCACAGACATCTCCGGGTGCATGCCACTGGGGACGTGTTCTGGGAGGATGTCATGACGCCCTCCCAGAACTGGACTACCACGCTGTGGCTGTCATTCGGCTATAGTGCAGTAGTAAAGTGGTTAAAATTCATACAGGAATCTACAGAGCCATATTTGCGTGTGTGTGTGTGTGTGTGTAGGAGGTTGTCCAAATGTTTATATGAGGCTCTCATCTAGGATAAGGTTCTATGGAATCCCTTTCTGTATTTTTTTTTACAAACAGAATAAAGTGAAAGTTTAAAGACACCTTTTCTTTTGTAAATATATGGATGCTGTGGTAGACTGTATACATTGCACAGATGCTATAATATACAGGTAAATCAGGGAATCTCCCAGGCATGGTTTTTACAGAAATATTGCTTTTTAATGTTGCACTTTAAAGTATTACTAAACCCCGGACCCTGCATTCACTCTATCTGTTCTCCCACAGTACACAGAACATGAAAATGCAATTATTTTAGTAAATATAAGCTGCTAAATACCTTTTCTCATCAGCGGTATATAGCAGTCTTGTGACTTCTGTCAGTGTCCAGCAGAGCACTGGTTACAGCTTGTAGGCTGTACCCCCTGACTTCTGTCTGGATAGTGCTGATTGGCCCTGTGCTGATCACATGCACTCTCCCAAGGAAAAAAAACTCTCTAGCGATACACACCAAACTGAGCATGTGTAGAGTGACTCAACACGATATGTCTTATCAGGAGATAAGAGGGGGACACTGGAAGAAGGGGAGAATCACAGAAGTCAGAATCAAACAGCATTTTTACACAATGCAGAGGATTAACCCCTTAAGTTCCACAGTGAGTGTAAGAAGTATTCTTTACTGCATATAGAGACTGATTTTACTGTTGTGGGTTTAGTAACACTTTAAGCATTATTCAAATTGCTGCTCCCAGCTGTTACAGACCGCTGCCCGTTTCACCAAGCTGTGACAAAAGACTGGCCAACCTCACCCACTTGTCACTTAAGCAACAATGGCATTCTCAGACTAACATTGCACAAAGATTTTCCAGCTTGCAGGACCACAATCCAGGTGCCAACAGACTGAGAGCGATTGTCGCTAGTTAACTAAGTTTTAGTTAACTAAGCAATTAACTCTTCTAACTGTCACCACCGACTTTTACAGAAGCGTATGAAACTTCCACAAGATTAGCAATAACAGGATTTTAAAATAAATGTCTGTACACACAATTTCACCACAGATAGGTATATTTAGAGATTTATCATATACAGTAACACTATTCAAGAGACAGGGATTATTTTATTTTGCATTAAAAGCCTTAGGAATAGTTTTAACACTTTTCAAAATAGGGCTTAATAATGAAAAGGTTAAAATGGTGCATATAAATATTTACAAAAAAATATATTGCAAAGAAACAAAGAGATGTAAATGCAACAGAGAAATAAAAAGGAGTTGAGGGTGAGAATACCTAACAATGTCCTAGTTTCAGCAGATTCCAATAGATGAGCAAAGATGGTACACTGGCTCTCTCAAGTCCAGTTAGGTGTTCCTTAATTTGATGTTAAACGAGAACTGTCAAAATGTGGTTGCATTCCACTTTTCTTCACATCAAAGGGTGTGTTGACAGAGACCATCTGACCAGTCATCTGTTCTAAGGGGTGGTTGCTGGCATGTCACCATGTTAATGATCGTATCATGCCCCCCCACCCCCTTACACGCAGTGTTATAATAATATTAGTATCTTCCAAAATGTATCGGTTGCATTCTAGAAATGGGTAGATTATTGTTCAGCATTACATTTCAAGTCCAGGGATATCAAACACAAAGTGTATGGGATGGGCTTGTCACCCAGGAGGTAGGAATTGTGTGCAGATTTTGTTAAATTGTGAATGAGATAGAGGTCTCTGAATGGTCAAATCTGGCCCTGACTGCCTTTTTACAATACCTTTTAGTTTTGGGTAGACATTTTATGGCATGGTATATATCCTAAAGGCTTTAATTGCCCTAAAAACCGCAGGTGACAACTGAAGGGTTTTGCTATAGTTTTATGATAGGTCAGAGGAAAGTGTTAATCTGTAGATGATCAACAGAAATTAACAAACATCCTGCCAGAACTTATATATTTACAGCTCTGCTAAATGTCTGTGTACTGGTGTCTGCTGTCCCTAAGTTGGGAAACAGGCTCTTTGAAATGTGACTAAGTTAAGGCTATGGATTTCATGAATTGAAGGAGAAGGAAGGTCACTGTCTCTGGTTCAGCGCAAAAGATAATGACAACCAAATTTTAAAAGCTGAACATGGAACAAAAATTGCACAACCATTACACAACATTAAATTAAAAAAAATGTTTTTCCTTTATTATATAATATTATGCAGGATTTATATAGCGCCAACAGTTTGCTCAGCGCTTTACAATATAAAGGGAGACAATACAGCAATGATACAGTTCAATACAAGAGGTTTAGGAGGGCCCTGCTTCTTGGAGCTTATTATATATCCCCCAGGGCAGCCCTCCATGCCATTTGATTGACAATCCCTTGCCCATTAGCCTAGAAAATGGCCATTGCTGAAATGTTTTTGCAAGTATGTTTAACTCACCACTACTGGTGGCATTGAAATTCCGCTGCTTCATTGCTCTCCTGCTCCTGATCTGATAAGTTGAATACATACTCCCCATGTCACTTGCAATGTATCTTTTTGCTGGCTCTCCCTGGCAAGAGAAACCAGGGAGAAAAACATTAACAAAAAAGATACACTTAAAGTATAATTAAAAGCAAAACTTTTTTTTTTTTTAGTTTTGGGTAGAGTGTCTGTGCAGCAATTAGGGAAATTCAGACTCTCTATTTGTCCTGTTTGCTATTATTATTGAAAGTGAAAGTAAAATAAAATCCCAAATTTTGGGCTGTCCCCAGAAAAGTAACAGAGGGGAAATATTCAAATGAGGACACTAGTTCTGGTGACCTCAAGGAATTCCCTTAATTTGTAGGAATTTCCTCTCATTTCCCGTTTTGGCAATGGGACAGGAAGGCAAGGGAAATTTCCACAATGGGACACAAATGGCAAAAAATAAACTGACAGGGGTTATAGCTCACCCTTACTCACATAATTGAATATTCATAAACAGATAGGGTTAACTGTATCCGTTTAGAAATATATATAGATATTTTAACAATCTGTTTAGAAATATTTGATTATGTATTCTTTATTTTTTTTGTTATACAGTTTAATGGACATGTTTCTCATTATGTCTGTTTAACTGATATAGTCTCCGGCTAGGGTTTAGACAATTGTCAGTTTTCATTTTGTATGTCTTGGGGAAGGTGGGGGAATAAAGGGAATAGAGTATTGTTTATTTATGCTAATATACTTATTTGTCAGTTTGAGTGAATGTTCTACCATGGTATTCTTTTGTTGTAGGTATGCATATTATTTATAGGAATGACTCATCCAACTATATTTGCTGGTGTTATATAAAAATAAGAGGAAGTGGCAATAGCTTATTTCATTGATTTTGTGCACACTTAAGCAGTTAATTACATTTAGCAAAAGAAGCATGATAAAAAAACACAAAAAAACAAAAAAAAATCCAAAGATCTTAGTGTACCTTAGGGATCCACCTGCCTTTCACCAAGCTCACTCTGCCATTAAAATTAGAGGGATCCAGCTGTCAGTATCTCAGTCATTTCCCACTTGGTATTTCAGAAACATGTACAACAGTTTTTATATGAATTAGGCTGGTAAACAGTGGTTTCAAGCTTTCTTCATAAATACTGTATGTTATTTTGTATTTTCTTTTAACCATATTTTATTATGTTCTCTAATTCTTTTCTATTTTTTTTTGCTCATTGGCAATTCTTATTTTACTGTTTATATGTAAGCTTTCTTTTTATTCCTTATAGGCTAAGTTCACCTTAAAAAATAAATAAATAAATAAATGCACATATTTTTGCAGGTAAAAAAAATTGTTAATTTTTTTTCTGAGGTCTGCAGTGCATTTCAGTGTCATCTCCTGCAGCTTTCAGCCTGTACCTCCCATACATTGAGAACTGCAGGCTGTCTGCCACAATGGCAGATGGTGGTTGTTGTTCATTCATTCACAGGAACCTGTGAAAGAATGATCCGCGTGGGTGGAGCCCTGCACAGCCACGTTCTTTTTAAACTGTAACAGCAGGTGTGGGGAAAAGCTCCCACCGTTATAGGGGGAGATGGGGGGGCACAGGCAGGTGCTCTTTAGTAACATGTTACACCCTAAATTACCAAAGGTGAAGTTATCCTATAATTTTATTTGTAGATATATATAAATTCCATGCTTTTACCTGTAACATACCATTAGCCTGTATGTGCCTAGCTATAATAAACATCATTTCATTTAAGGTGCAAAAAAATTTCAGGCTGCTTGAATTCTGTAAAGGACTGTTTTGTTTGTAATCCTGTAGAAAATATGACAGATTACAAACTCCAATTGTTTCCAACTTCATATAGCTATCCATAGGCATGTGCAGGGGGTGTGCCGGTGTGTCTGGGAACACCATAATAACACTGTGCAAATTAACATTATAGCCAGGGCCACTGATAAGGCAGTACAGCTGTCCCTCCTGTAAAATGCCCAGACCCCATTAGTTCCAAAGGGGGGCATAGGCACTTGTCGATGTACTGCCTTGTTGCTGACAACCTGATTCCAACTCTCCTTTTCTCCATCCAGCTGTGCTTCAGGGGGATCTGAGCCAGTTTTCCACTTTCCGGGCCACACCTGTGTTACCCCTCCTTCCCCACAGCGCTGGCAGCTTCCCTCTTCTCCCACTGGATGCTACAAGGTACAGAAGGATCAGATTCAGGATGGAGAATGTGTGTGTGTGTGTGTGTGTGGGGGGGGCAGAGTGTGAAGTAAATATATCAAATTTACTGACTCCTTCCTTTACTGAATTAACACAGTGAGTGATTGATTGCTCCTGTGTTCAATTATCACTGAAGCATAGTAAACTGTGTTTACTATGCTGCAGTTTGTGAATGACAAGGAAGCCTCAGAGTGCTTCCCATTCATTTATCTGTGCAGCTAAGGCTTCAGAGAAAGGGACTGAGGAATATCTTAATTTCCTTTATGTGTTACAAACGTGAGACATTAGGGGTCTATTTAGACCCCTTATATTTCACCAAAGCCCCCCAACAGGGCAGCTAAAAAAATTAAAATCAATCAATTAACAAGAATGCTGAAAAAAAAGTTTAAAAAAAATCTAAAAAATAATTAAAGAAAAATTAAGTTCTTGTTCACGTGTGCTTTGCTCACTGAAGAGCAGTCAGTATTTGGATCGCTCTCCAGAGAGCATTTGACAGGTAGTGAGGAGGTATATCATCTCACAATCACCTGCTTCAACCCTGCACTAGCGCGCCGCTTTGCACGTGGTTGTGGGGCACTTGCAGAGCAGCATTATTCATTTGAATAGGTCTTGTTTGACGGGGGTATAATTTCTGCCATGGCAAAGCATAACATCGCAGCCATAGCCTGTGTATACCCAAATCTACTGCTTCTTGGTGGGCAGTAAAAGTGCAGCTCAACCTTGGGGTTTTACCACCCCTCAAACACACATGTGAATGAGCCCTAAGGACTCATCCATCCAGTTACTCTGGCTGTGTGAATGAGAGGATTGTCCATGTGGCTGGAGCCACCTGTTACTCTAAGGGCCAGTTCATACTACATGCATTTCAGC